ATAGGCTTAGTTATGAATTATCTTATGTTATATTTAATATAACCAAAGTATACCTCTTTAGGGAGGTCCTTACAGTCAAAATCAATCAGAACAGATTCCGTTTCCTTTTTTTCAATTCCTCTTGTCATTCTTTTAGCAGATTTAACTGATCCATTTCGCCTCCTCAAATTCTCTACTAGCTCCTTCATACCCACCGTAAGAGGAACTCCTGCCATTATTCCTTTACAATTCTCTGTTTTCTCCCCTCCAACTCTCACCACTTTTGCTACTTTAACTTTTCCCACACTGCTAATTCTCTTTGCCTTCTCTATCTGTTTTTCAGAGCTACATCCTTTCAATTACATCGTCCTTATTTTACTCAAAAAAAGATTCCAAGGCAGACAAGATACCCTTTATTACTTAAGATACTGTAGACTGATTAAATCATATTTTCCCTGCTAGATCCTGATATATGTTCTTGCTCGGTCAACATTACAGTTGATTGTAAAATCATTCAAAACCCTGTATTTCTTAATGTACAGGGTGGTGATATCATCAGTACGATTCTTAGGAGAGAAGTGACGCACGATCAGACGCAGGACACGTGTGCTGAGGTATATGCACAACTGCATATAAATACAAAGTATTCATGTTTTGGTTGGAATGACTGGTCCGAGTCAAACAGCATTTGTAGATCTATTTTTCTCTATTTGTTTTCTCAACATTACAGTGTTGCCAATGCAAACTGCACAAAAGATTCTGACTGCGCTCAAGGAGAAATTGATTTTGATGGTCATGGTGGGGTTTACTTTTATAATAAATACATGCATATATACAGTGGGGTCTAAATCTCTGAGACCACTAGTTTAATATTAAACTACTTCTAATTTAATACACAGTTTTTCAAAAAAATTTAAGTGCAGCTTTAATTGCTGCAGTATTTACTATTTTACTAAACTACTTTTACTTTTACTTTTTTTTAAATCTTAAACTAATTCAAACTTAATTGATTAATTCACTAATTCATACATTAATTAAAAAAGATTTTCATTGTGGCCTCAGAGTTTTGATGCATGGTCCACTGTAAGATGTGGACTTGTTTTTGAATAGGTCAAAGAACAGGACGATGTATCCCATACTTACAACTACACATTCAAGACCTGCGAGATCAAAACCTGGTGTCCCATTGAGGAATATGCTGTTGTCAGGTATTGTGCTTTTATTGACTTATCTGTCAAAAATCTAACAGAGAAATGAACTCAAATGTCTTTCTTATCCCTGTAGGGAACCAGCTTTGGAACAGGCTATTAATTTTACAGTGTTCATAAAGAATGCCATCCATTTTCCAAAGTTTAAAGTCCTGAGGTACGTTGATGAGTTTCAGCATGTTTTATAAATCAGAGGATATGTCTAAGCAGTGCCAGCATGCTTTTTAACCTTTTGTGTGATCAAAAAAGCATTTAGTAAAACATAAATGTATCAGAAATTCCAATTTACACTACCGTTCAAAAGTTTAGGATATCTATTGTTTTTGAAAGAAGTCTCTTAGGCTCACTAAGGTTGTATGGAATTGATCAAATATACACTAAAAAAACAGTAATATTGTGAAATATTATTACAATTTAAAAGAACTGATTTCTATTTTATTATATTTTAAAATGTAATTTATTCCTGTGATGCAAAGCCGAATTTTCAGCATCATTACTCCAGTCTTCAGTGTCACATGATCCTTCAGAAATCATTCGAATTTGCTGATTTTCCGCTCAAGAAACATGAATTATTATCAATGTTGAAAAGTTGTGCTGCTTAATATTTTTGTGGAAACTGTGATACACTTTTTTTTTTCAGGATTCCTTGGTGAATAGAAAGTTCAAAAGAATAGAATTTATTTGAAATAGAAATCTTTTGTAACATTATAAATGTCTTTACTGTCACTTTTGGGAAATGCATCCTTGCTGAATTTATGTTTCTCATGGTCCTAAAAATATATATGTAATAATACATATATAATACAATAAATAATATATGTATATTTTTTATCTGAAATGGAAATGGAAACTACAGGGGCAACATCAAACCAAACAAGCCAAAGAAGTTGTTACGGTGCCATTATCACCCCGACACCAACCCGTATTGTCCAGTGTTCAGCCTGGGCTTCATCGCAGCGAACTTTGCAGAACGGCATGTATACGGCTTAAAGGCACAATATGTAATTTTCGCCGCTAGAGGGCGCGTATTCAAAACAAACAAAGAAACAAAGGGTAGTTGATGACGCCGTGACTGAGTGTGGAATCATGGGAGTACATGGTCTTCATCCTCATACCCGATGCAATCCGACGGGACTTAGGCAGAAATCATGTTCATAGATGAGCTAATGATTTATTAACGTAGTAGAATGAAGCAAGGTGAGGCTGAAAGCCTTCGAAGCGAAACGAGGCGGCTGAACGAGCTCGACACACGACTCGAAAGCAGCGGAGCTTTTATTATGCCACAGTCGAGCGCTTCCGCTCCTTTCCGGTCGTGCTCTAAATTTTCTCTCTTTATCTCTCTTTTTTTTTGCAAATCTCCATTCTTTTTCAGTTTATATCTTGCAATTCTGAGAAGAAAGCCGCAATTAACTTTTTAAAAAATTAAAAATAAATAAAAAAATAAATAAATCTGATCTGCTAGAATTCTGAGAAAAAAAGTCAGAATTATGAGATATAAACACAATTGTGAGCTGTAAACATGGAATTGCGAGGAAAAAAGTCAGAACTGTGAGTTTATGTCTTGCAAATCTGAATTTAGATCTCACAAAAAAGTCTGAATTGTGGGATAAAAAGTTGGTTATCTTTTTTTAAAATCCTGTGGCAGAAACGAGTTTCCTTGTAAAACATACTCCAAAATTTTTGTTTTATTTACAACTTCGAAAAACAATTTTTACAGTGTATATGTGACCCTGGAGTCTTAAGTCGCTGGGGTATATTTGTAGCAATAACCAAAAATACATTGTATGGGTCAAAATTATAGATTTTTCTTTTATGCCAAAAATCATTAGGATATTAAGAAAAGATCATGTTCCATGAAGATATTTTGTAAATTTCCTACTGTAAATATATTAAAACTTAATTTTTGATTAGTAATATGCATAGCTAAGAACTTCATTTGGACAACTTTAAAGGCGATTTTCTCAATATTTAGATTTTTTTGCACCCTCAGATTCCAGATTTTCAAATTGTTGTATCTCAGCCAAATATTGTCCTATCCAAACAAACCATACATCAAAGAAAAGCTTATTTGTTCAGCTTTCATATGATGTATAAATCTCAATTTTGAAAAATTGATCCTTATGACTGGTTTTGTGGTCCAGGGTAACATATGTGGTTAGAATGTTTCTAATATGACTCTTGAGGGTCATTCATTGAGAGATATTCGAAAGATTTCCCAGTTTTAAAACAACACGGCAGTCAATAAATGACAACATTTTTATATTCTGTTTGTCGAATAGATTAATCAAAAGCTTTTTCTGTTTCTTGAACCAGGTCTCCAAGAAACCCAGTCAGCCAATCACAACAGACCTCACGCTTACAAGCTATGGCTCCACCCACTCTGACCTCTCAGATGGCGTGCCATTATAAAACAACCTGCCATCACCGAAAACGCTCCAGTGCCGGCATGCCATGCCAAATATACAGCACAGTAGAATCTTTTTACAGAAATGACTGGATATTTTCCTGTCATAGGAACAATAAGGGTAGGAAACAGCACATGTCATATCTGAATTTAGAAAAGCAAAAAGAAGCAAAACCACATTTTTGTTAAGATTCGCTTCAATAAATATTAAACACTGATCACCAATTGAATTGCTTAGTGTTTAATTCAACTCTACAACGGGGTTGCATGTATCTTCCATCTTTGAACAGTCATGAAATATGAAAAGTTTCTCTTCTGTAAAATGACATATTTCCATCTTTATTAATTAAAACTCATTGCATATTGTTTCATATAAATGTGTCACATGATTTAAATTCCCAGGACCTATAAAGCAGCTTTTGATTTTGATCAGATTGTTAAAATATTGCTGTTTGTCTTTGAAATAGCCATTGAATTTTGATTTCACATTGACTTTAAAGTCTGACACTAAATTTATCTGGTGATTAAAAAAGTACTAAAGGATCAATTCTATCCAAATGATCATCTCTTTTCTGGGAACCTTCTTCCATCAAAAGGAAAGATGAGATGGTTTCTCCAAAGAGCAGCACTCGCTCTGCTAACCTGATAACAACTCCTCCTACGATATTGGTTACAGTAATGAAATTTAGGGGAAGAGGAATTGCGTCAGCCCAGCTCTACTCTAAATGTGATTAATTGAAATGTATCGGTTTATGCAGCTCACACTTTTGAGGTTTATGGTCTTTTAAGTAATGATCAAGGGTACATATAAAACCTCATCTCCCCAGACAGGAAAAGAGACTGAAACCAAATGGACAGACAATGAACTTAGCTGTAGCACTATGTAGCCAGAACCTATTCTGAAGAAAACTTTTGCTCTTATGGGAGAAAGAAACATTTCAGTAAAAGTGGTGAGTAGAGCAATGACAATTCAACAATGATTGGATTCAAATTGCACATTGCATAGCATGTCATATATCTCCATGAGGTCCAGGTCTTTGCCTCTGAGATAAGAAATCAAATTATAATGTGGTAATGTAGAGTGGGTAGGAGCCAGGCAGTGAAGTTAAAGTGGGTAGTTGCTGGCTATTGCTCTATCCTATAGTGGTCACAAAAACCATAAAAGCCATATCTTTACAGAATTAAATTCATAAATGTCAAAAAGAAGCAATATCCAAATGGACCATTACCAAAGAGACATATTAGTTGCATGCCACTATGAACAAGAGTGATACCCCTCATCTGCAAATATCATTGCAGATTCAATTAGTAACCATTATGACCAAAATCATCATTCAATTACTTAGGAAGTAATGACAGAAGTGAATTCTTCATATACAAAAATATTTATTAACAACAAATAAAAGAGTTCCGGTACCAACATTTTTCCACTGTGATAGTGTACACACATTTCATAAGAATTCAGATCTGTACAAATGGCTCACACACACTTAGTTTGGCACAAATGATGGAGCGTATCGGGTGGAAAAGCATCTATGCGTTCATACTAAGCACCCAGTCAATGGTCTCTAGCAGGAAGTTCATGTTATAGTGGGCGGCAATGTTCCGGAATACTTCCACCTGTTCAGTGAAGCTCTGTAAACATGCAAACAAGTGGAAATGAGCAAGCATGAGACATTACATGACTAAACAAAATATTTGTAGGTGGTTTTAGAGTAAGATTTTTAAACAGTTTTTGAGTCTCTTATGTTCAATTTGTTCAAATTTAGTATTACATCTCTTGCTCACCAATGGATCCTCTGCAGTGAATGGGTGCCGTCAGAATGAGAGTCTAAACGGCTGATAAAAACAATACAATAATCCACACCAGTCCATCAATTAACATCTTGTGAAGTGAAAAGCTGCACGTTTATAAGAAAACAGGCATTCGAACTTTAAACCAATGCTTCTGGCCAAAATACTAGTTCATAATCTATAATAATGCTTCCTCCAGTGAAAAAGTCCATCCCTTGTTGTCCTCTCACAACCTCTCGATCAAAATCTACCAACATATTTGTTTTCACTTGTAAATGGTGTTTGATCTGTGCATATTTCTCTCCTGAAGCAACGATTCGAAGTTAAAAACGTCTTGGATTTGTTTCTCACAAACAGTTTTTTGCTTCACGGGATACTAATGAATGGACTGGAGTAGGGCTGGACGATATGGCCAAAATTGATATCACGATATATTTCTTAATTTCGGTCGATACGATATAATTCCGATATCGATATGAACACTATTTCAGCCAGAAAAAAGGGTATGAAAAGTGCTCCGAGTCGCTGCAGAAAAAAAAATTGAACGACAACAAAAACTGGAAATGTTGCTGGAGACGGCTTATTTAAAATGAAAACTGATTCTCTGCCAGCAGGAGGCGCTTTTAGAGTGATAAAACTAGCGGTTTCTCCAGTAACGGCTGTAATCAAAGCAGCTCCGCTCATGAATGCTACTTTATCAGATCAAATGAAAATGCCATCGAAACTTTTCTGAAGACAGTCAATTCCCTTCAGAGATACATTCATATAAAACACCCGCGCCGTGTTATGATTTTGAAACGTGCAGTGCTCATGTTTATTCAACGAAGTCAAACGGCACAAATAAATTAATGTATGGGAAACACTGGTAATGTATATCGAAATATCGGAAATGTGTTTAAAAATCATATCACCGTTATTGAAAAAAATTATATCGCGATACATATTGATATTGAATTATTGTCCAGCCCTAGACTGGAGTGGTGTGGATTATTATGATGTTTTTATCAGCTGTTTGGACTCATTCTGACGGCACCCATTCACTGCAGAGGATCCATTGGTGAGCAAGTGATGTAATGCTAAAGTTCTCTAAATCTGTTTCGATGAAGAAACAAACTCATCTACATCAACTTCATTTTTAGCAAATTTTCATTTTTGGGTGAACTATTCCATGAATGCATAATTTCTGAATAAAAGTATTCATTTATTTCCAAATAAGTCTTACTAACCACAAACTTTTGTATTAGCATTTTAATGTACCATAAGTACCTTTGTGGTGAAGCTGAGGTTGAAATCTCCAGCACAGTTACAGTACAGCAGCATGTTAGCTTCCTTCACTCCTTTGCATTTGGCACATTCCTATGATGGGATAAAGTGCCATTTACATAAGTGAACTTCAATGGATGTGCATATCCATTACACTAGGACATTTACCACTCAAACATTTTCCTTTTCCAAATCAATTTCCAAAAGCATCAGAAACATGGTAAATAATGCTGTTTGTGTCTCTCACCAGGTCTTGTAGTGTGTAACTCATGAGCTTCTTCTGGAGCGCCTCCACCAGGGCCATTTCTATGGACTCTGTGTCGTACTGGGCCTGACAGTTAGAGCAGAACCACTGAGGAAGAACTGAACCATCCTACATAGGTAAAAAAGAAAGAAGAGCGAGGTGAGAATATTATAGCCTTTTTTGGCTAGCTTGATCACATGACAAATGTCTAAACATGGGAAAACACCAAGAAGTATTAGCTTAATGACTTAAAAAAAACCTCTGGAATCCATTAAGCAAATGTAAATATGAATGAGTAGCAAATCTTTAACCACAAGTTCAAATAAGAGATAAACTGTAACCAGAGTCCTGTTGTTACCTGGGAAACTGCAGGGTCTTTGCAGAGGTCAAGATCACGACAGAAGTTACAGTGGTGGCAGATGACCTCGGGCAGGACGTAGGACTTGCAGGGGTCACGGAACTGGGCGTCCTCTGAGAATTCTCCAACATCCACCAATCGCAAAAGATCTCGCTTCAGTTTGTTCACCTGATTGACAATGTTGGCGTCCAGAGAGAGCACCTGAAGGGACATTAAAAACAGAAACAACATCAGACAGGTGTGAGGACTTTGTAAAAATTTACCTTTTCCTGTTTAAATGTGGTCAGCAAGATTTATTGTGGTCAGCAAGATTTTTTTTTTTTTTGAAAGAAGTCTCTTATGCTCACCAATTTATCTGATCAAAAATACAGTAAAAACCGAAATATTGTGATTTCTTTTTTGCAATTTCGTATAACTGTTTTCTATTTGAATGTAATTCAATTTATTCCTATGATGCAAAGTAGAATTTTCAGCAGTCATTACTCCAGTCTTCAGTGTCACATGATCCCGATTCAATGCTTAAGGAACATTTCTTATTATCAATGCTGAAAACACTTGCTGCTTAATATTTTTGTGGAAACCGTAACACTGTCATTATTGTTACAACTTTAGGAGTTTAAAACACATTACTGCAGTATAAAACCACAGGAGCTGGAGGTTTATGTTGATACCTGACAGACGTATTTAATAAACTCCAGAGCAGGGTTGTTGAGGGGCAAGTGAGAACCAGGAAGAACAGGAAACATCTCAGATGGGAGCGTAACACTACGAGTGCTCGACACTATCTTCTGAATCTTCTGAGTGATGGTGAAGAAGTTCTGTGTGAGTTCACTTGACACATACTCCTGAGAGAATGTAATCAAACCTACAACAGCACAAAGACAAGAAAAATAAAAACATTTTTTGTTTTATTTGTACTTTTTTTTTTCTTGCAAAACATTTTTTATATTTTAATGCAGTCATAAACAAATAACTCATTACAAAAGCACTCAATATTTGCAATAGACTATGCTGAATCATTTTATGCCTTACCAGGAAGTGCACTGACATCCCCAGTTGGCTGCTGGGACGCTTGGGTCGCTCCTCGTCTCTTAATAGGAGTAGCACCAGGGGCGTTTCGCCGAAGCTCTTGTCTCATGCTGTGATAGACAGCTGCAATGTAGGCTGAAAACAACCAACCAATTATAATGAAATTATGAGAAATTATAATAAAATAGAGCTGCACACAAAAAAAATCTAATTGTGCATTTTCAGGTCAAATAAATAAATCCTGTAATGTTACCTGAAATGATCATGAGAAAGTATTTCTGACAGGATGCTGTTTGAGGAAGGTACTGCATGATGTTCCAGTTACTTTCAATCAAGTCTTCTACATCCTCTTCCCCATCCTGTTCTTCATCCTCCCCTTGGTTTTCTTCATCTTCATCCTCATCCTCACTTCCATCCTCTTCTCCATTCTTCTTTTTCTTCTTTTCATTGTCATGCTAGAGTGGGTGGGGGAAAAAAAAGTGTTGAAACTCAACTTGAATAGTACAAATACCAACCATTTTGAGTTATTTTACATAGAAAAACTTGTAAAGAACAACAAGTGGTTTCTAGGCCCTGTGCTTTACCTCTCCATACAGAAGGCTCGAGGGCAGCTTTCCCTTCACTCCTCCACAGTTAGCTGGATCCATCCACAGCAGAAACTCCCAACAGCGTGAGAATGTGATGGACAGAGAGTGGAAGATCTCCTTTGAATGGATACTAAAGCCGAGACACAAGACAGGAAGACAAACAGTAAACAGAAAATTAATCCACATAATCTAATACCAAAGCCTGGACTTCAGACTTTCACATTGCATGAGAAACTAAGTTAAAAGTCTATACGAGAATGAAAAAAAAAACATGTAAAAAGGTTTAAATCACCTGTTAGTGATGTACTCCACGTATGCAATGGCGTCATCAATGCGCCGTTTCTTGGTGCAGAGGATGAGTCGGTTGAAGTTTCCATAGATCACAGATGATCCCAGGCGCTTAAACTCTGCCACAAGTCTGATGTGTTTAGAATAAGAAGTGTGAACAATACAAGTAGTCATTCTGTGGCTCAAACAGTAGTGCATTAACTGATAATGTATACTTTGAAAGTTGCTTTGGGCAAAAGCATCTGCCATGCTAAATGCATAGATGTAAAATGTACATAATACAATATTTATAGGAATAGTTCAGCCAAAAATGAAAATTTGCTAAATTTACTCGCCCTCAGGCCATAAAAAAAGAAGATATGTTTGTTTCTTCATCGAAACCGATTTAGAGAACTTTAGCATTACATCACTTGCTCACCAGTGGATCCTCTGCAGTGAATGGGTGCCGTCAGAATGAGAGTCCAAACAGCTGATAAAACATCACAATAATTCAGTCCAACTCCATAATTAAGACTAAAATACAAGTCCTCTATCCATAATATTGCTTTCAACAGTGAAAATGTCCATTTTGCCCAAGTTGTCCTCACAACAAAATCCACCAACATATTTCAGAACTGTTTTGGAATGTTTTCACATGTAAATGGTGCATTTCTCTCTCTCAGCTTTTTGCTTCACAAGACATTAATTGATGGACTGGAGCGGTGTGGATTACTTGTGGTTTATTGTGATGTTTTTATCAGCTGTTTGACTCTCATTCTGACGGCACCCATTCACTGAAGAGGATCATCTTGGCCTGAGGGTGAGTCAATTTTTAGCAAATTTTCATTTTTGGGTCAACTATTCCTTTACAGTAGCATTTTTGCTTATGTGTCATTTCTAAACAACCGATATAAGGTTTTGGACTTCATACTGACACTTTTCAGCATTGATACACAGCAGGGTTCCTCAAATCTTGCCCTGGAGGGCCAATGCACTGCAGAGTTTAGCTCCAACCCTGACCAAACTCGCCTACCTGTGATTTTCTAATGATCCTGAAGACATTGATTAACATGCTCAGGTGTGTTTGATTAGGGTTGGAGCGAAACTCTGCAGGAACGTGGATCTCGTGGGCCAGATTTGAGGATCCCTGATATACAGCAACTGGAGACTTAATCTCATGCAAGTGTAAATTGTAAACTTTTTTTGCTCAATTGTATTACTCATTTCTTTAAAAAGAAATACCCTTAGTAATGCACCTTTAAATAAAATGCAGTTACAATGAAAACTAAAAAGCTACTTTAAGACAAAATTCTGAAACTGTAGATGATGTAATAGAGCAACTTTCTTTAACCCCAAACTACAAAGTTGAAATATGAAACTTCTGTGAGCTGTACTCACTGCAGGAAGATCTTCTTCATCATGTTGAGGAGGGTGCGGTGCAAGGCCGGGTCGTACAGCAGAGAACTGGGTGATCGCAACCACCGGTAAAAATGCATCACCTGGTTATCAGCGTAGATGTTATGATACTGCGTAATCTCTCGAACCCAACCAACAACCATACTCTTCAGAATCCTGCATGAGGACAGAAAATAGTGAGAACTCGTTTGTACAGTTTTTTTTTTTATTGATTATTAAATTGATTTGATTACGTTTGGGCTTATTCATTTCTACATGCATACCTGAATGTGTTGGAGCAGAGTGCCGTCTCATCATAGCTGGCCACTGCATTTGCCCCCTGATTCCCTGACATCATTTCCTCCAGAGATGCATGCTGAATGACATCAAAGCTGACGCCCATGCTGGCCCCGCCTTCCATATCGTTAACATGCTGGGACTGTAGAATGGTGTTCACTGCCAAACTCTGAATATCCAACTCCACACAAACTGGAAAAAAGCCCAAGTACTTTACAGACATACTTTTTTAAAAGCCATAAAAAAAAATAATAAAAATTACTGATATTCAACTTACAACCATATTTGTCTGAGGCCATTTGGTGGGTTGCAAATACCAACAATACTCATGGATAAAGTAACTTATTTAAAAGTATCTAGGGCTGCCACTAATGACTATTTTTATTTTGATTAATCTATTGACTAATTTATCGATTAATCTTAACGATTAATTTCCCACAAAAAAATCAACAATTTCACTTAAGAATATTTTATTAAACTATATTTTATTAAACCAAATGAAATCCAAATTTCTATGAAATCCTTTTTTTAAAGCAAAAGTAAAGTGCAACATAGCGTGCAAGAAGCAAGTGTCCATCTCATAGTCCAAATCACTGAAATCAAAGTTCAGTATTATAGTGTAAGAATGACAACATATCCATGTGTTCTAGTCTACTAATAATAAAATTATAATCAAAAAACACTTTTTAAAGGAGTATTTACCAGAAATGTTATTTACCAGAATTTATTTAGGAGAAAAATGTAAATGTGCAGTATTTCTGAAAAAAAGAAAAGAAATATATATATATATATATTTTAAATAAAATCAATTAATTGGAGATGCTTCCTATAATAATAATTACTTTTTTTGTGGTAATAAAAATAGATATAAGTGAACAATAGCCTTTAAAATTACTTAAATACATATATAATAGCAATGAGGCAATAATAATTAGTTCAAATAAAGTATTAAAAGCAAGAAATCATATGGTTTTATTAAACAAAACTGTTAAAATACATAATGTATTATAAACAATAGAGCTAATGTACATTACGCATTACAACAAAGGCCTGCAGAGGGCGCCAACGGCCTGACGATTGTTTTTACACATTACTGTGCGATCTAATACTTGTTTAATACTGACCAAGCACCATTTAATTCAAATGTCCACTTAATCTTTAATATTTGGCCATTTCTTTAGGACAGAAATGCTATAGCCACTGTAATTAAAAGAATATGTGGACATCAAAACGTGTAAACTCAGAGTGAGGGTTTGAGCTTTTATTTTGAAACCGCGAGATAATTATGTATTCTTCTGTGTTTGCGTGGATTTATAAATGATTTACCTTACAAATCTGACGAAATGGCGCAAGCGTTCCCAGATGAACGTTATAATAAACCCAAACTCACAACAACACGCAGAGATGGAGTTTGAGACGCTTCACACATGTAAATGATAACAGTTCCTGTGGAACTACTGTGAACGGAGCCGCTGTGTGACGCATGTACTTAACCTACACGCATGTAAATAATTAAAGCGCATATACTGTATTAGAACTGCATCACATATAATTATTTAATTAAATCGTAGCGTTTGTGAATTCACATTATGCTTAATTATGATTTTTAAATGGGTTTAATATATTGTGCAGCCTTGGGAAACAGTCTAATAATGTGTTTTATGGATTCTCGTCCATGAAATGCACCACTTCGGGTATTTTGCCGGTTAGTCAACGCGAGCAAAATTAAGTCGAGGATTTTAAAAAATCTAATAGTCTAATAAAATCGACAAATCGCGACAGCCCTAAAAGTATCGTTTGGAGAATTACTCATGTTTTCAAAGAAGCGTTTAAATCTCAAGTGACAAATGTAGCTTATCTAAATAAATAAATAAATAAATAATAAATTTGTGACCACTTATATCACAAAAATTTACATAAATATAATGGTATCAGTGATTATTATTAACTTGTTATTGTTGTTAAGTAAAACCATATTTTTTTGTTGCTTTATAAAGAATAAATGTTAACTGAAATTATTACTAAAAAGAAATTAAACCTATTTTATTTCAGCTAGCTGCAAGGAAACATTTCTCATTTTCCTATATTTTAAATTATGTACTAAAATGACAAACAAAAACTATTAAAAAAGACAAAAAATATTAAACAAAATTATTAAAACTTTAACAAAAATAAAAATGAAAACAGGAAAAAAAAAAAAAAAACTAATTCAAACCATTAAAAAAAAAACTATAATGGTATCTCAATTAAACTAAAATAACACTGGTGGTGCTTTTTATTAATACAATATTTATAATGCATATTATGTTTATTATTGTTGTAGCCTTATGCTAATGTAGGTATTATTATTTCACAAATCAGAGATAAAACAATAACAACCAGTGGATATATAGGCTACACTGTAATCATCTGCTACAAATACAATATTCTTGCGGTGTCTTTAATATCTGTTGTTCTCTTAGTCTGTGTCAGATCCTGCGTCTCAGTGCATCGGACTGAATTTGCTTACCTGTGGAGTAGCAGCCATGGCTATTGATGTCCATGGAGCCTCTCTCATCACTCTCCATCACCAGTCTGCTGTCATCAGCCTCTTTCCCCCCGTGGTCCGGCCGTGCCGTAGGTGACAGCCACAATAAGTGGTTGTGCTTTCTCAGATGACGTGCAAGAAATAGATCTGATCCAAATATAGAAATGTCCTGAGGCAGATTTCCCACAGGCAGGTGATAATACCTGCAGAGGAAAGGACATTACATTACAGAAGTCTGAAGTCAGCTTCTCCTAGCATGCTCTCTGATTTTGACTTTCTAAGGGTTTAAAGGGGTAAATGCATGAAAAAAAATCAAATGTTCTTTGATTTGAATATATATATATATATATATATATATTTTTTTTTTTTTTTTTGCTGTTCTTCTGAACTTTCTATTCATCCAAGGATACTGAAAAAAAAAATGTATCATGGTTTTCACAAAAACATTTGATACATCCACTTTGACAGAAAATTAATAACATTTACATTACAAAAATAAATTAAAATAGAAAATAAATGTTTTAGAAAGAATTGTTTTAAGTTGTAATTATATTTCAGAATTTGACAGTTTTTACAGATTTTTGATCAAATAATGCAGCCTTGGTCAGCATAAGAGACTTCTTTCAAAAGCATTAAAAAAACCTTAATAACCCCAAATTCTTGAATGATAATGCATTATAAATATATAGCGTTATGTTCATATCTCATTCTCTGTCCAAAAAGACCAGCCACATTAAGTCAACAATGCTTGTTTGGGGTTCAGAAATGTGGCCCACCTACTTACAATGATGATATATAAGGAGGAAATACTGCTATTCCAGTGTCTTTATGAATAAAATCTTAAAGGCACAGTAGCAAAAAAGGCCAGTTTAAATGGCCAAGGGGAACGAGACGAGAGAAAATGGTCACACCAACTACAAAAACAAATTCAGATTTCAAACTGACTTCAGTGCAATTTTTAGTGTACCCAAATAAAGACAGTTTTCCATTCTAATTAAATAAATCTTCATAGTCAAATCAAGATAAAACCTGTATGAAGTATGACAGTGATAAAAGTGTGTGATGTACCTGGCCATATCAAAAGCCTGTGAGAGGCAGCTGTCCAGGTTCAGGTAGTGTTTTATCATGCGGCGAGCTCCGTGCCGTTGCCAGTCCAGTACACTGTAGCTTATCTCATCAATAACATGAACCGGCACCACCGGGAATTCCTCTAGTACAGTCATGCCAGCTGCCAGACGGCGCAGCTCCCAGTTAGACTGAACGGCAATCAGGGTCGGACCGCGCCGCTCCTCCTGCACACATGATAAGGAGCACAGCTGTTATTCATCTGCTCAACTGTGATGTCAACTTTATTATGCTTTAAATAAATTGAGACCGTACCTTGTAGTTGAGGAGAATGCGCTGCAGTGCGCGGTAGATGGCTTTGACGTCGTTTTCAGCACGCACTTCAAACAAATGTTTCTCAGGTGGCAGAAGCTCCTCTGTGGTCTTCTCCAAGAGTGCTGTGCGCTCTGCTCCGTACAACGAGCTAAGGTTTGGCATCTGATTACTGCGTACCTACATTCGGTGTAAATTTCAGTAGGGTCAATTCTATCATCATCTTTGCACTGTGTATTCCTCGTAAAGTCTTGCATAATTAAGAAAATCAAAACAGAAAAAGTTCAAGTGCAATTATCATATAACAAAGGCCACGATTTAATCAAATAACCATGGTGCATGTTTCAGATTATCTTCTTTTACAGCAGCTCGGTTCGCAGTAAAGGATGCTCCATACTCATCTGTGCATCTGTACTGAGTTTGGGTTGCTTATAATGTGCATTAGGCAACTCTATGGTTTAACGTTTGAAAATGAAGAAATTAAGGCAGCTGTAAATATTTGCTTTGTAAGTTTACAGTTACTGTAAAATAACTTTTCTTACTCATTTTTTATTTTACAGTGAAAAACTTTTATACATATATCATTTAGTAATAGAATTTAGATTGAAATCTGTTAAATAATAAATATTCTACTTCTCTTGCTTATCGTTATTATCATTATAATAACGCTAAGTAAGAGAAGTAGAATATTAATTATTTTCTAGTCATATTGATATGTAATCACAAACTGTTTTAGCCAAATTGTGCAGCCCTATATTTTCATCCAAACTGCATAGCCATAACTTCTCAATTACCAACTAGTTATTGAGCTGACCATTTAGCTTGGCTGACATTTCTATAATATAATCTGTCGGTAGGCTAGTAAACTATTACTCTTGTCTAATAACGCCCCTTACCAGAAGCATTTGTCCATTTCCCCCATTTCATCAGTTATTCCCTGTTCATTTATGTTTTATCACTCTTGGGGTCATCTTTTTGTTTATTTTGATTTGTTTCCTATTCTTTGTTGTTGAGTTTTGAGCTCACATATGTTTCAAGCTAAATTGTAGAGCTTACCGTGTCAAGAACAAAGATGCTGGCTTTGCGTTGGGATGGTATGAAGAGGCCAAAGAGAGCCTTATGGCCTTGACTGTGATGGTACAGGTAGATGTGCCTTACACAGCCTGTAACACATAAAACATACAATATTTAACCCCAACACCTTCAAGCACATCAGCCACCATACAGATGCGTAAGCATTGCTACAGTGTATGCATGAATGTTGTAACCAATTACTAAACATCTGTTTACGTCACCTGGCTCGAGGTAGCTGAACTGGGCCAGGGATCTCATCTCTAGGTGCTCCAGGTCGAAGGAATCAGCCTCTCTGCCAGCCAGGTCTCTGACCACCTGTTTATTGACCATACACATGCAACCCAGCTGGACCAGAGCCCGGAACAGCAACGGAACCTAGAGGGTCACATGGAAAGGGCAAGAGACAGACACAGGTAAATGACCTCTCTTGATACTACAAAATAAGGACAATGGACAGCAGAGCAGAAACCCGCTCTGGAAATCTCTATTTGTAGAATACCGTATTTAGAATATTCCAGGATTACTATCAAAATAAAGACACCACGACATTCATAGAAAGGCCCTTACCTGTGTCTCATAGACACCCTCAATATCAGGAGCTGAGAGGTCAGCATTGATCTCATTGATGTGTTCCTGGTACATGTCCTCAGGAACTGCATACTGGTACAGGTAGTACACCACACCAGAGCGTGGAAGTATCCGGTTCACCTGTCATTTAAATGGATCAAAATGAAATTTGTCCCAAACTCAATTAAAAACTTGTTGAAACACTTGATTCTGATCAAAATAAGGGAATGCAATTAACTTAAAATTTCAGATTATTATTAATAGAAATTATTGATATAACATAATATATAATTAATATAATATTATTATTATTAATATAAAAATAGAATATATTATAATATATTAACAACAATAACTATAATAACAGCAACATGCAATTTAATATAAAATACAAAAAAGTTAAAATAAAATAAATTATTATTGCTTTTGTTATATATTAATAATTATCAATAATAAAACTTTTTTTTTTAATTGTGTATAAATGGTATTATGGCTATAATTGTTTATTATTATTATAATAAATACTAATTAAATCAGCAATTATATTATTAATTTTTATTGTTAATAAATGTAAGTCAATGTTGTTGCTAGGCAGATTTCTACATTATAATGGACTGTTTGTCCTAAAGGATGATTTAAGCTAATCTACAAGTAAGATGATAATATATTTTCCCTTACATATTGGCTTAAATTTTTAACCAGCTGAATGGGATAGCACAAAATTAACTTATAGTCAAGAATGCTCATCACATAGATCATGCACAGAATTGGTGGTGAAAAGGTTATAAGCAGACCTTTTTGCAATTAGATCCCTCTTCTTGCTTGGGCACTTTCTGATTGACATAAAACACTCGTGGGATGTTGAGTTTCATGCAGTGCAGGTCACTGCCAATGACCGCCCACAGCTTATAAAGACCCGGGTGATTGGTCTCTGCAATCTGGAGGAAGTGGATAGCGAAACACATCATGCATTGATAGTACTACAAAACACAAAACTGCTGTCATGTTTCATAGTTCAGATACACTACAATTTTTTGAGAGAGAAAAAAAAAACTTATTCAGCAAGACATTATGTGACAAAATGTGACAGTAAAGACTTTTACATTGTTACAAAAGATTTCTATTTCAAATAAATGCTGTTCTTTTGCACTTTGCATAAACATATTAAGCAGCAAAAATTTTCAACATAATAAGTTAGGGTGGCCATATTTTAGTTTTCCAAAAAGAGGACAGTAGGGGGCAAGGTTCGTGGGTGGGGCTTCGCCTAACAGTATACATAGCAAGGTTCTACCTGTCTCTTTCCCTCACTGGTAAAGAGCTCACTGATCTTCTTCTGCTTGTAGATATCATTCTTTTCCAGAAGCTTCTTATGCAGCCAGTCTGGATGCCGTACTCGGGGTACTGGATTTTTCACCTGAACAAAAATAGTAACCGTTTTAACTGGAACTAAACTTAGTAACCGGAACTAAACACAAGAAGAAATAAATTCAAATTCAAATACAGCTAAATATAATAAACACTATTTTTTCTCTCCACACTTAAAATCAGACAATCAGAACACTGCATGATTCATGTACTGTTTTGTAGAGTGGAATTCTGCTCCAATGAGACTTCAGAGTTGGCAGGGCAACTCAGCGCAACAGAAACAGAAACCAACAAAATGTTGCCTGTTTTGGTCCTGGTTAGGACTAAAATTTAAAGATAAGGACTAAAATGGAGAGATAAGATTTAGTGCTTGATTCAGCTGGTTAGAACAAGGACTCACAGGTGTTTAAATGAGTGGAGGTTTATTTACCTGCTGTAGAGCTGCAGGGATAGTGATGATCTTCTGTATGGCACTGCCCAACCGCTCAATGTAGTAACCCCAGTCCAGAATCTTACATGGGAAAGGAACAGACCAGATATGAAAAATAGTAAACATAATAACAATAAAGATTACAACATTCCCAAAATAAACTCACAGATCTAATATCAAGATCATAGAGACTGGGCATCTTCAGCCACTTGCGTAGAAAATGCTTTTTAACACTCTCTTCAGCCTGAAAAATTGCCAGAGGGATCGCCCTGTGTGAGGAAGAAAAAGTAATTAATATAATTTATATTTAATTGTATGTACATGATAAAATACAGTAATTTTGTGAATTATTATTACAATTAGGGCTGGGACAATAAATCGATGCATCGCGTTTCGTGGATCGATTCTGAGATTTTCGGAATGCATCGCGATTCTCTTTCGAACCGATTCTGAGCTTAGTTTTTAACAGCAGATGGCGCTCTAGGCTAGATGCGAGATTAATGTAAACACAGCCCACTGTGAACATCCTTGTAATTCGCTTCAACCTTTTCGAACTTTATGAATGATTATTTTAGGTTTAAATGGTGCGTGTGTAAGGAACTGGAAGCAAGCAGAATACGGCTATTTCTAAAGCACGCAGTGCCATCTGCTGTTAAAAACTAAACTCAGAATCGATTCAAGAGAGAATCGCGATGCCTTCGGAAAATCTCAGAATCGATGCAGAATCATTTCTCGATTCGAGATGCATCGATTTATCATCCCAGCCCTAATTACAATTTAAAATAACTGTTTTATACTGAAATATATTTTAAAATGTCATTTATTCTTGTGATGGCAAAGCTGAATCATTCTAATATGCTGAATTTGCTTCAAGAAATATTTCTTATTATCAATGTTAAAATCAGTTGAGCTGCTTAAGATTTTTTTCAGGATTATTTGATGAACAGAAAGGGGGAAACAGGAAAAGACATTCTAAATGAGACTTCAGGAAATGAGTTAGTAGAAAAATAAATGTTTTCCAATCAGGTCAATTCCCGTGTTCTCACCTTTCAGTGACTGGCGAGCCCTCCGGTTTGCGAGATATGACATAGCGACAGCTGAGGCCGGCATCCTTCACCATCTGATCTCCAAGGAATTCGGCAAGACGCTTGGCTGTGCTGATGGAGGTGGACTTCTGTTCTCCATAATCTTCCAGTTTACGGGACATGGAACGGTTTTCGGAAATCAGCTCAAACAACTCGGCATCTGGCATGTTAGCAGCCTTGAACACAAAAGACAAGAACAACACTCAGTAACACTCCCATTCAGCTTTGCCTTGTTAAAATAATAAACACAGCTGTAAATATTATGTAAAATAACATCCAAGGTGAGCAATTATTCAGATTATAATTCCACTTAAACCCATACAAGATGTTGTAACATTTGTCTATACCTTGCTATAGAGCACATCAAGCCAGTAGTCAGCCACTTTAGCCACAGAGGCATAAACCTCTTCTAGAGCTGTGCCTTTTAGGAAGGCCTCAAACACAGAAGACTGGAAGATCTTAATGAGTTGAAGTTCTCCTCTCCTCTTCACCTCAAAGCCCTTCAGCTCAGCCAGCGACCCGTCCTCGTTAAACACGGCATACCTGAAGATAGAGAAGATACGAACCGAGCTTAGAAACAAAGTAACGAACAAAAACTATGAATGAAATAGATGTTTCCTGAATGGAACCTAATTTGCCCTTTATTTGAGGCTTTTTCCAAAGCAACAGTAGTTTATATCTACTAGTGCCTACAGTTACAGGTCAGATATGTCCATATACAGATGGTACTCAACCAGAACGAGCTTTTTATCGCTGCCGCCGCATCTGCAAAATGTATCTGCAACTTTTTACCGCTGAGAGACGCTTTATCAAGCAAAGTTATCAAGCGAAAGCTTCAAAGCGCATTTTCACCAATAGAAGTCAGCTTTGCCTTGCCGATGGGTTACATATGATGGATGCAGTCAGCGGAAAACCAAAGAAAAACACTAGTTAAAATAATTAATATTCACAGAAGCAAATTTACTTATGAAGTTGTGTGCGTTTGCTTCGACTTCAAGCAGGATAAATATCAAGCCTGTGAGCCTCTGCTCATGTTTACCCTAAGCTACACAGTGCTAAATCACAATTTAGATTTTTACACATTTAACAGGTGTGCAGTATTATTTATATAATATGAAACATATATTATGTTACCTTAAAGAAAAGGTTGTTTACTTTGCATCGTAGCAGTGAAAGTGGTAGCTTGTTCAATACATGGATTTATATGCTAAATGTCAATATTCTCACATTACAAAATATTTGTCAAGAAACATTTTTTTCTTTTTAGATTTACAATTTAAAATTAGTTTAATAAAACGGCATGCATTTTGGCATGTCACACACATACTTTGTTATTTGTTAGCTGTCCTTTATTTTGACAGAGGACATGATGTGGGGAAAAGATATCTGTCCACAAATTAAAAAATAGTTTTTATTAATTCCTTCCTTTATTTTAGTAGGAACGTGAGCACTGTATAATTTAGTTCCCATTATTTAACTAAAACAAGAAACATAAATAAAACCAGGCCACAGTTTAGCTAAATCAATGAAACTGAAAAGAAGGGACGGATTAATAAAACGTCCTCTAGGCTTGCCGCGATATACGGTGCCGACGGTGATACCGTTATTAAGCCGCAACACCGGTTACGTCACTTGCCCACCGCAGCACCGACCCCCACCGTCGTTTAGATTTTTTATAGTAATAAAAATCATTTAGTTCAGTAAAAGAACAGACACTACAATTAAAAACAGACTCAATGCAGCGTGCCGAACGACAGCCGCATCACAGATCAGATTTCATTTATCCAGTGAGGAGAGTGAGTCGAGCTGACTGACAAGAAGAGTGAGGTGAGACAGACAAGACGAAGGCGGATGATTTAGTTTCGAAACGAAACTAAAAACGAACAATTGCTTTATGCCGAATTGCCGGTATTTGAAAGTGAAAGTAAAATGCGCACGCCACTTTTACAAGCTATTTGAAAGCGAAGGAAAGCGAGGAAAAGAGGAAACGCCCCCCTGGTGATACCGGTATTACCGGTGTTGTCACACGTCGATTAACCGGTGGGAAAATTTCCTCACCGTCACAACCCTAATGGCCTCTAAACATTTTTTCCCTATAATGATTATAGAAATACATTTATCTCTTTATTAATGTGGCAATGCTGCTCCCCTAATGCAAATAATATATCAGTTAAATCTATATATTTGTTTTAATAATAATCTCATGTAATAAGTAGCTTCAGTAGGCTGAGGTTGACTATTAAAACAAAAAAATAATAACTATATAGTATTGTTTTTTTAAATATAATATTAATACATTTTTAAGAAGAATACTGAAACTAAAACTGATTACATGAAGTCTCTGGACAGTTTTATTACAGCTTTGCATATGTTCCCTGCGCAATTTGATGTAACATGAATACAGCATTATTTTTACTGCAATATATTTTTACACTTGTATTGCCAAAAGAACTGCAGCGTTACCACTTACTAGGGCTGTGTTCGATACATTGATACGACGATGTATCGTCACAGGCATTTGACGATACGGGTATAGATACAGCTGTTTCAGTATCGATATCGCAGCACGTGCGCAGCAGTTGGACCACGCTTTATTTGAATACAAGGTACAGCAGGGCTCGACAGTGCGACCATTTCAGTCGCATTAATCGCGATCTCGATTCCATTTCGATTTATCGTGCAGCCCTACTGATAAGTGTTACTTATTTTTGTCAACCTGGCAACCATGTGCTCGCGCACTCTCTCCGCTGTGGATAAAAGTGCTGGCTTTCTGAAAACACAGGTAAGATTGCAGTTTAGCGATCTCCACTTCGATATTCTATTCTCAGAAAAGTGTAATTCATCAAGTGTTCATTTACGAGCGAGAGAGAGACGGTGTATTTAAGAATTGACTCCGTTTTTGCCACGTTTCTCTATTAACAGTGAAGCGGTGGCTTTAATTGCTTCAGAAACGATGTTACAAATATTTGCTGAGAAAGATAATTAGCTCTTCAGCGGTGAAGCTCTTTTATTGATGAAATTGTGGGGCAGCGCTAAAGTTTCTGTGTTGCTGAATGTCTGTGTGCGTGCACAGTGTGATCTGTTTGAGTGACTGAATGTGTGCTCGTGAGCTACAGTGAAGACAGCGCATTAGTTAAGAAATTTTTTCAATTTTGCAAATTCAAATTTTTGTTTTTACTTTTTTAAACGGAGAGAGTGTTAATTTGTGCAATGATAACCTACCAGCAATGCAAGGTGATTTTATTAATATAATAGAATGAGTACATTACAATATATATTAGAACAAGTACATTATTATTTATGGGCTTAAAAATAAGATGCAAACAATCAGAATATTGTACCTGGTGGGGAGTGCCCAATGTTAACATGAAACCTATGCCATTACCTATATTGTAATACTGTGGTACAGCAGGCCGTTCATAATGCAGAGGTCAACTGCCTGCTCTGCCTATAGTTAGCAATGGCCCTACAGTATGCAGTGTTTAATAAACAGCTGTTATACTAAATTCTGCTGAGCTGAAAATTAGTGCGGTCCCGTATCGTGGCCTCTGTATCGGGATACGTATCGTATCGTGACTTTGTTGGCAATACACAGCCTTACCACTTACAATTAAAACAGTGCAAAATGAAAATAGTACAAAGCAGAATAACAAATTAAGAACAAAAGTTTCTGTCGCTCTCTCTAAACCTGCTCTATGAGTTTGAAACACTCAGCAGCATCAGACACTCTCCGTATGAAAGAGTGGCGATTCACACCTTTCTATTTCCACCCCCACGATGAAGCTACTGAACTGCCCCAAACCCCAACCCCCTTCGACTAGACTGGACTGAATGCAGAAACTGCTGGACAGCCTAATATTTGTTGCTCAGTGTAAAATGGACATACACTTTAGAACTTTAGAAGTAAAAAAATTGTGTAATATAAGCAGTGTGTTCTAGAACTGCAGAACACGAACACACACACCTATATTAATCAATTTATATATTTTTTAAAAAGCCTAAAAAAAGAATAAACAAGCAAAATGTATGTATAAGGCAAATAATAATAATAATAATTTAAAACATGGTTTAATTAATTAAACACATTTTAATACAAAGGAACAACTTAATAAAAAGTGATCAACAATTTCTTAATTCATGGACATAATTTTCGGCATGTCATGAACAGGGCTCTGTATACGGGAATTAATGTTTAAAAAAAAGGACAGATAACGAATAAGCATGCTTGACCTGCTAAAATGCATCAGCAAATTATTAAATGTAAGTTTTACTATGATATCAATGTGACAGTGGTGCCAAAATATGTTAGACCTATGCCTATATCACTCATAACCTTCCTGTTAACAATAATCCACCTTTTCTCTTTTTTTTTTTATGGCATAATGCACACCTCTTTAAATGTGACCTAAACATTCAATAAAATACTGGCTGGTACAGTACAGTGAAAAGTAAGCACATCTCAAGCACTGCCATCACCGTATTTCACTGTGACAGTGATCAAATAGCTGGAACATTAAGCGAACTTGCGGACGCGTCGAGTATAAATCAGCCTTGAGCGTGTGTGCGTTAGATACAGTGAAGACAGCGCGTTAGTTTAGAACTCTTCTAATTTTTTTTTTTAATTGTAGAGAGTGTGTTAATTTGTGCATTGATAACCTAACAGCAATGTAAGGTGATTTTATTAATATAATAGAATGAGTACATTACAATATATATTAGAACAAGTACATTATTATTTATGGGCTTAAAAATAAGATGCAAACAATCAGAATATTGTACCTGGTGGGGAGTGCCCAATGTTAACATGAAACCTATGCCATTACCTATATTGTAATACTGTGGTACAGCAGGCCGTTCATAATGCAGAGGTCAACTGCCTCCTCTGCCTATAGTTAGCAATGGCCCTACAGTATGCAGTGTTTAATAAACAGCTGTTATACTAAATTCTGCTGAGCTGAAAATTAGTGCGGTCCCGTATCGTGGCCTCTGTATCGGGATACGTATCGTATCGTGACTTTGTTGGCAATACACAGCCTTACCACTTACAATTAAAACAGTGCAAAATGAAAATAGTACAAAGCAGAATAACAAATTAAGAACAAAAGTTTCTGTCGCTCTCTCTAAACCTGCTCTATGAGTTTGAAACACTCAGCAGCATCAGACACTCTCCGTATGAAAGAGTGGCGATTCACACCTTTCTATTTCCACCCCCACGATGAAGCTACTGAACTGCCCCAAACCCCAACCCCCTTCGACTAGACTGGACTGAATGCAGAAACTGCTGGACAGCCTAATATTTGTTGCTCAGTGTAAAATGGACATACACTTTAGAACTTTAGAAGTAAAAAAATTGTGTAATATAAGCAGTGTGTTCTAGAACTGCAGAACACGAACACACACACCTATATTAATCAATTTATATATTTTTTAAAAAGCCTAAAAAAAGAATAAACAAGCAAAATGTATGTATAAGGCAAATAATAATAATAATAATTTAAAACATGGTTTAATTAATTAAACACATTTTAATACAAAGGAACAACTTAATAAAAAGTGATCAACAATTTCTTAATTCATGGACATAATTTTCGGCATGTCATGAACAGGGCTCTGTATACGGGAATTAATGTTTAAAAAAAAGGACAGATAACGAATAAGCATGCTTGACCTGCTAAAATGCATCAGCAAATTATTAAATGTAAGTTTTACTATGATATCAATGTGACAGTGGTGCCAAAATATGTTAGACCTATGCCTATATCACTCATAACCTTCCTGTTAACAATAATCCACCTTTTCTCTTTTTTTTTTTATGGCATAATGCACACCTCTTTAAATGTGACCTAAACATTCAATAAAATACTGGCTGGTACAGTACAGTGAAAAGCAAGCACATCTCAAGCACTGCCATCACCGTATTTCACTGTGACAGTGATCAAATAGCTGGAACATTAAACATTTAGGCTATATGATGAATAACTTGATATTACCACTGAATTATTACATTATTTTTTATCTTTATTTACAAGTGAAAGTCACAATTCCAGCTTTATTGAGCGATGGTGTCAACTGTCCCTTTGTGCCACCTGGTGGTGATTTCGCAACGAGTTTCACATGTGACTGGGTTTTATTTAACACCGGGGCCTTGCGGTGGTGGTAATAGGCATTTTGGTTGACTACTTACTGTAATACGACAATGTCCACAGACAAAGTATTTCTAGTCCTTTTAAAAGTGTGATAATGAACAGGAAGATTTAGTGTAGATTTGATGTGGTTCTTTACCTCTTTTTTAGTTTTTTTCCTTCTTCTTTGGAGGCAGGCAGGATCATAGCCAAGTATGGCCCATCAACTTCAAAGAAGATGCTGTTTTCAGCTCTGGTCTCATATGTTAGAGATGCTGGGTCCACCAGCTCTTGATACTGATGATTCGTGAAGCCCTCCTACACATTCAAGTGACAAAAATGATAAAAAGGGGATCATTTCATATTATCATTAGATGTTCCCTTTTAACCATCATTTTGAAGAGCTTTTCCTTTTTAAAGGGGACATCAGATGCCTATTTTCCATAAGTTGGTATGATTCTTTAGGGTGTTCATGAAATGTCTGCAACATACTTTAGTTTAAATTTCTCAATTGTCATATAAAACAACACCCTTTTTACCTTGTCAAAAACAGCTCTGCTCACAGAGACCCGTTTTGGTACATGTCTCTTTAAATGATAATGAGCAACTGCTCACCCCACTCCTCTCTTGTTTTTTGTGTAATCTGGCGCATTACCATCAGAAACAAAACTAATCCACTGCATCCTCAGTGGCTCTGATGTTGGGAGAAAATGAAGACTTATGTTCACTTTTAACCAGTGGTGGACAGTAACGAAGTAGTTATATTTTGTTACTGTACTTAAGTACATTTTTCAAGTATCTGTACTTTGAGTAACTTTTATTTTACTACATTCCAAAGCATAAGATTGTACTTTTTACTTCACTACATTGCATAAAACTTATCGTTACTCCTAATAATATATCACGTGCTCTGAGACGCAGAAGTCTGATTCATGAACGAACTGATTCTTTTCAATGAACCCGTTAAATCGGTTCGCAAATCGCACCAAACGATTCATTCACGAATTAGAATGAACCGATTGCAGCTGTTCTCGAGTCGACAACTCACTGATTCAAATGATCGTATCCTGTCTGCGCGAACTGGGTGCGCAGAGGTATGCTAATACATACGTTGACAAGCAGGTAGGAAAGCATATTAAATCGCTCGGACCGAGCGTTTTGATTGGACGAACATTTCTTGATCCTACACCTTCCACAGAATATATAAATACAGACAAATACATTTAGACCACTTAACTAGTTTTGATCACTTAATCGGTACTTTTTACTTAAGTACATAAAAAATCAAGTACTTTTGTACTTTTACTCGAGTAAAATTGAAAACTGAGTACTTTTACTGGAGTAATATTTTATTATACGGATCAGTACTTTTACTCAAGTACTTGATTTGTGTACGTCGTCCACCTCTGCTTTTAACATCCAACTACAAAACACCTGCATTGCTTACGAGGCATTGTTGTCGCTACAGCTGCTCGAGCGTGGAGAAAATGGCAGACAGAGTACAACTGGGTGAGGGCGGAAATATGCTAATACCGGACAGTCTGTCAGTGGTCGCAGGCGGGGCCTGAGCAGCATGATATCATACTGCTCAGAAAATCAAAACGGCTTGATAATTGAGACTGTTAAGGTTTTTTGGGGATAAAAAAAAAAAAAAGGAGTGTATGGATTTTTATCATTGTAGGGTGGTTGTGTCTACACACTGCTAAGACGCATTTATATGCAAACACAATGTAAAAGTGAATTTTGCATCTGATGTCCCCTTTAATATATAATTAACATATAATTAACTATAATGTCAATAATGTGGTTTACTGGTCAAAAGAGAAGCAAGATAAATTACCTTGACCATGATATTCAGCATGGCTCCTGGATAACTGATGGTCACCTCTGGCTTCTTTTCATTGGTGGATTTTATGACAAAGTTCTCAGGAAAGGTGTTGGGAAGAACACACCAGATACCATCAGTGTCCAACTCCAGAGGCCTCCTAAAGGAGAAGAGGATAAATTCAATTAATCAATCCTTTACAATAAATTAATCACATAACCACAACTCTGACAGTGTTTATGGGTTTGGTGTAAGAGTCTGACCCGATCTGCTCAATGAGTTCTCTGGCCTGTGTGATAATGTTGGCACCGGTGAAACAGACAATCCCTGCCATCTCCATTGAGTACCAGCGTGCTCTGTGAAACATAATATGAAACATCATGTAAAACAGGAATTAAGAAACAAAGAGCAATCTCAGCAACTACAGAAGACAAGAAGCTCCTCAGGTATATCTGCTCTAGAACGGGGCAATAAAAGCGCCTCAAAAACAATGGTTCAATACCCTTTTCTCATGACATATCCATAGAAGGAGTTGAGGATGCACTTGTGCGCCAGCTGCAGAGACTCATAGAGAATCTCCATGTTCTTGCAGCTCTTCACCTCCGCTGCGTCCCCGTTATCCTGCGCTGTAGACAGCTTCTTCTTCCACACCTGGACAGATTATAGGAACAGACAAAACATTTAAAAGGAGATATATGAATGATTCCTTCCTGCATAGCCGAGCACACTGAACTATCACATTAAAAGAGGATATATCCTAGAAAAACATATCCTTTTGAAATAGAAGAGTTTGAAGTGCTATTTAGACAGACTGTAACATTCATAAAATAATAAACAAATAAACATGATTTAGGTCTGAATGCAGTACCTTGTGGAGTCCTTTGAACTCGTATCGACGGTCTCTGAAGGCTCGAACCGTGTCAACATAAAAGGAGTTCTCTCTCTGGCAAATGGTAGTGACTCTCTCCTCCAGTCTGGTCAGGTGAACCTTCTTATAGGCTTTTCTACAGTAGTCTAAGAAAACAAATACAAATGTAATAATTAGGGATGCTCCGATCAGGATTTTTGCAGCCGATACAGAGTACCGATTTCTTGTCATGGTGATCGGTCAATACCAATGCCATTTCTGATGCTTCAAGCTTTATATAACATATGTAATAATGTTATATAAATCATCACAAAAATTATTCTTTATACAGTGAACATTTTAATATGCCTTTCAAATGGGGTTTATGCATAACATTATGTATATCAGGATACTTAATATAAGACAAAAATAAATACAAACAAAATGGAGCAGTCTGATGCAACCCACAAGGTTTATTTAAACATTATCCAATAGTAAACTGTGGAGGACAAAATAAACATTTAATCTCCTAAAATTGAGAAGTCTGATGTAACTTAAACATTGTCCAACACAAGTCTGAGCAGGACAAAATTAATAATAATAAAAAAAAACATTTAAACTCCTAAAAGAACTAATTGGAGTAGTTTGATGAAGTTCATTAGGTTTAATTTAACATTGTCCAATGTTAGAGAGAGGACAAAATAAATAGAAACATTTAAACTCCAACATGGAGAAGTCTAATGTAACGCATACGCAGGTTTAATACCGTCCAATATAAGACTGAAGAGGGAAAAAGAAATAGAAACATTTAAACTACTGAAAGAACAAAACGGAATAGTTTGATCATGAAGTAAAAGCCTGTGTTAATGCTATTGAGTAGGCTAATATGGCCAAAGAAGATATTTTGTTTTATTAAAAAAATGTTAATTTAAAAGCAGCCCACGATCAGCGTATTACCATTACCCCTTACGGATCCGACGAGGTTTTGTTCCGTCCTCCACGCTGTGACAACTCAAAAAAGACTATTTTAGCCAAGCAGCGCAGAGAGCCGCTTCAGAAACATGCCGTGGCTGGCCGGTATAAACACAAGCATTGATTAGAGTGGCCGCGATCAGCTCCGGTTCCCGGAGTATAATTAAAGCTCATCTTGGTCTATGACAATAGTCACACAAATAAACAAAACCAAGTTCCCAGCAGGTGGATACTGACCTCCCAACCGCTTCTTCTCATGCCGGGCCTGCTCTTCTCTGTTGAGCTCATGGAAAGCACGAGGTGGACCATTAGGAAAGAGAGGGGGAAACTTCTCTGACTCCAATTGTTGCTGAATGCGATGAAACTCACTTCTACTGGCAGGCACTAGGAGGAAAAACAAAAACTATATTAACATTTAATAATAATTATGTTTACAATGGTTTATAAACAACATTTTACTTTTCATTTACTTTCAGTGTCAATGACAATCATTCTAATATGCTACCAATGTTGAAAACAGTTGTGCTGCTTAATATTTGTGTGCAAATGAATAGAAAGTTCAAAAGAACATTTATTTGAACAACATTTATTTGAAATTATTAGAAATTATTAGAAATCTGTTGTAACAAATGTCTTTACTGTGACTTTTGATCAATTTAATGCATCTGTGCTGAATAAAAATATTAATTTATTTTTTAAAAATTAACCTCTCCTCAAAGATGTAAGATGTTCAAATCACTCACTGATCTCTCCTCTCCACTGCCAAGTCATCCTGCGCTGACAGTTTGCACCAGGTTTATTAAAATCACAGGCGGCACAGGTCGCCTCATCCACCATGGCATAGGGCTAGAAGAAGAAAAAACAGATGGAGAGAAAGAGATGATTTGTCTTATTTGATTTATATACAGCTAAACGGGACAAACTAGAATTTGTCTAGTAATGTCATTACAATTAAATCAATTCCTGTACAACCTATCCAAGATGAGAACTGTACTGTACCTGTAGTCTGTTGGTGAGGATGATGTTGGGGTACATGGCCCCCACATCCAGATGGTAAATAAGAGGACACTCAATTCTATTGGGAACTTCCTTCAGAGAGATCAGCTTCCTCTTGATCTCATCACACACCTGAAACAAGTAAGATTCACGTAACAACTGGAGAATAACTCAGATACATGTATGAATGCTAATATTAATTCTTAAAATAGGCATCATGTCTCAAATGTCTAAAGGCACAGATTGTCATACTGAACATTAAACACATGACTCCGACTGACCTCATTAAAGTTGGTGACCTGCTCAAGGGGAATCTTCTCCTCTTCCTCAATTGCATGACGAAGAGTGCGTTCCACCCTCTGAAGCAAGAAGTCAAAGGCTGCTGGATTCTGTCAGAACAAGATTAATTATAAGTAATTATGCAGATACAGCACAAATAAAGCAACTCAGAACAGTGCGCTTTGGTTAAAAATGGACTCCTAGTTACCATTTTAAAGCGGCAGGGGATATCACTGCGAAACACACCGGACTCTAGAGCCTCGACGTGGCCACCAACATAAGTCTCAGAATCAAGTACATGACCATCATCTGTGAGTTTGTTAAAGACCTGCTCCTGCTTGTTTGGGAAAACAATGTTGACATGGAAGGCCTGAACCATCAGCAAGGCTTCGCACAGGGTACCGGAGCCTTTTCGCAAAACCTGTTTACACATTTGTGTGTTGACACACATATAAAGCAACACCATGATGTTAAAAACTATTACATCTACAGCTTTGATTCATCACAGCGTAGTAACAACAAAAATAATGAATACACTATGAATACAATAAAAATAGTGAATAATAGATTTAGTGAATACAGACCTCATCGGGTTCCATAGGAATTATGGTGCAGAGGGCAAAAATGAAGGGATGAACATATTTCATGTAAAGGTAGTATGTGGCCACAGCGTCAGACACTGAATAGGTGGCCAGAGTCTGAAAAACAACAATACAGCACATCAAGCAAAAGTGAGCACTGTACTGAATATTTAATAAAGGAATGAAATATATATATATAAAAAAATTAATATAAAAAAAACAATAAGAATGAATGAATGAAGTGCAAATTGACAAAATCATAAGCCAATCAGAACATATTTAATGTTTAATATAAAGCTATAGTAAGAAAGATTTTAGACCAATGAGATTCTATTACTGAACGCACAATACATTAAAAATTATAACTGACCAGCTAAATGTCCTTCTGCAACTGTTGCTGGTAAGGACACAAACTTATATTAACATAGTATGGACGGTGTGTCACATCATGCCCAGTTAGGAAATGGTGTTACACATTAAGAACAGTGTTGAAATGAATTCATATTTTGCCTGATAGCTTTCTAAAATTGCTAAATTCATAAATCTCTGAAATACAGTATGCTGATTACATGTTTATGGTGTAAGCGAACAGTCATTCATATTAGTAAGTGTGAAAGTTGGGAGCTGGAGATAAAAGGAAGGGCACCTGTGGTTCTTCAGTAGCCATACGACACATCTCCTCTGGGTCCAGCTCTACAGGGTCATAGCCTAACTTAGCTTTCGCTGCAGCCTTGAGGTTATGACTTCCTACAGGCAGGTAACTGTCTCTCTTTACCCACCTTAATAAAGAGAGAGAGAGAGAGAGAGAAAAAGACACTATAATATTTACTAATATAAAGTCATGCATATACCAAACAAGTAAATTTAGTGGGTAATTTTCTTTCAGTCTGCTTTCAGAAAACATTTCAGCAGCTCTAACCTGAGACAGTCCATGTGAATAGCCTGGCTGGCTTTATATTCCCCCTGATTGTCCTTCTGGAAGCCGATCTCCCGATGCATACTTAGGCCAAGTTGGGCCGCTCTGGTCTCTATAAATGGCCTGAGGACACAGAGACACAAATAAACCATGGGCACATGCTATTGGTAAAAAAACAAAATCGTCAACACAAGTAAATGCCATATAATAACATAAAACATTATAGGGAAGCAGCAAGTTTTTATGTGATATAATATCAGTCTAACACAAATCATGTCCCACCAGTCAAAGAAATCTCCATTGTAAGTGACAAAAATGTTCGGCTTGGTCTCATGGATGTGTTCAAACCATCTCTGAATGAGAGAGGCCTGCAAGCAGACAGAAAAGGTCAAAAATAACAATTTTGACAATCTCATGGATGTGTTCAAACCATCTCTGAATGAGAGAGGCCTGCAAGCAGACAGAAAAGGTCAAAAATAAGGAGGGACAATATTTACCAAACTACAGAAAATATGTCTGACAATTTTGACAATACCAACTGTGGCACTCAATAACAGTCTTGTAAACAATGCATATCATAAACTGTTCATCCTCACCTCATCAGGTTCATTAAATACAGTGAAGGGGCCCTCGTATTCAGGTTTTGGGGTGAACTCAAAGTCCTCAATGTCCTCAGAGACTATTTCTCTGTTTGTGATGAGGAAGCCCTGTGGAAAAAAGTACACAAAAGTATATTACAAACCATGTTAAGTATTAAACCCATCAAAGACTAAATTTAAGCACAGCATGAATAAAACGGTTATGTTATGACTGAACAATCCGACAGGTAAGAATGCAAAAGACATTACCTGCCCATCTATCATGTACGATATCATCATGATCTGGTCTGTTTCAGCATCAGGAAACTTCAGAGGGAGTTTAGTGGTCTCAATATCGAACGCCAACACTACCGGATCCTTAGACAAACAGAGAAAAATACTTCAATGATTCTTAATAATTCATGCAGAATCCTCAGTAAATCATACCGAACCGTGACGTTAAAACCAAGGTACGTACCGAACTGTCATATTTGTGTACCGTTACACCCCTACAGTGCATAAAGCTGAATGACATTATCAAAACAATCTTAATAACCAGAGACCATCTAAAACAAAACTTTCAGGCATCTACATTCTTTAAATTTGCTTTTGATTTGTTGATTCTTACAGGTCTTTCCACAAGATCATCCCTGCGCACAATCTCAGGAGGATAGGCACTTCCTCTGTACCGCACATTGTACCAGTGAGCCTGTCAGAAAACAGAGCGGACAATCAAGGTCTCATTTGAACATTAAACACACCTTATAATCAGTCATGTAGCCTGTTTTTTTACCACATGAATCTTCAGGTCAATAGAAACGCGGACATGATAAGGCACGTCATATTCCCGCATGTCTATGATGTTGTCAAGCTGCTCAGTCATTTTCTTCGATGTGCCATCCTCATCCTCCGTCACCACGCTCCCACCAACCAAAGCACTGTAACACACAAAAAAGGCATTATTCTATTTATAGTACCAAATAACAATAGTGATCATTGTCAAGTGCACTATGGAAGGTCTTACAAGTGAATTTCTTGAGGGTTTTTTTCCCCTTAAAGTTTAACTTATTTTCAAAAAAATTTTTTTAAACTTTTGCTTTTTTAAAAGTGCCAAAGTGTGAATACCTGGACAACATGCTGGTATAGGCGTCATTGGACTTCTCTCGCTCTCTGTTCTTGCGGACAGCAGGTGAGATCTCCCTTTTCACTTTAACAAGGTCGTCCACCGTGTTAAAAGACAGTTTGATGTAATTCCTCTTCAGGCCCACCAGGTGATTAGGCTTTAAAGGACACAAAGCAATAAAATGATTGACATTATAGAGCAGAGGTGCCCACACTTTTTACTAAGAAGTGTCAGAAATCCAATGTGGGCCAAATGTTGCATTATATCCAACAATATTAAATATATATAAATTAAACTTAGTCATATTCTCTAGTACAATGCAAAAATAAAACAAAAGTATAAATTAGAAATGAGATATGCTCCAGTGGAATGGTTTTTTTCTTCTTCTATTTTTTATTTATTTTTTGCCTCTTTTGTGATATGACATGGCAGACCAAATCAAAGATCATCATGGGCCAATTGGCCCTGCTTTGGGCATCTCTCGGTTATACAGTAAAAACAGAAAGGATCAATAAATTAACAAAATTAAAGGTAAGCACTAATAAAGAGATTATGGTTCATATTGAACTTATATATTGACATCAATCACGCAAACAAACGAGTAGAATTGTTTACCTAATGTATAATAGAACTTTACTTACCAGATCTAAATCTTCCTTTGGGACAACTTCAAGCTTCGCCACTTTTCCCTGGAACTTCTTTGACAGGAAGGAGATAACCTCTCTTTCACAGTTCTTTAGAAAACACAAAAATTTGGATTGATCATTCAATCAATCCAACCCAAAGTGCTTTCATTCAGTGCATAAGCTTTAAACTCACCTTTTTAGTGGCTATGTAGAAATACGGCTTATAGGGAAGAGCAACCTGTGAGGGGACACGTACACAAAAAGATGAAATTTACAACATCAGGATCTCTGTCAACATAAGATATTCTTTATCCTGCTCTGTCAATGTGATTCAGGATAAAATACACAACCGTTCAAAAGTTTGGAACTCAGTAACTCAAAAAATCGCGCGAATATGAACATGGTTTTGCGCAGCTCGTCAGTGAACAACGGCTCTGTGTAGTAAATGCTGCTCAATGTGAAAGCACACACGTGATGGAGATTTACCGCTGATTACAGAACCGGCTTTACTGATAAGCTGCGCGTTAAATATCGCATGCGATTTATCGTGCAGCCCTAGTTTGAAATAAATATTTTTATTTGCAAACTGCTGTAATATTACACCTTGAATCTGCTTCCATCCTCCTGTATAAAGTAATAGTCCACAGCACTGATCATCCGCTTGTCATCATCCAGAATCTCAGTCTGAGAAGAAATACATTATGCAATGTTTAAAACCTTCATGACAGTTGGCAAGATAATCAGTAAAATGTCACTGTGTTGACTGTCTGACATTCATTCTTACCGGGTGCATGTTGATCAGCCATCCCGTTTTCTCCCCAGTCTCCTTCATCCGTTCAAACCCAAAGCGCTCATCCATCCCATCAGTGAACTGACTGCGCTCCAGCCGCTTGACAGCGGACAAAGCTGATGCATCATCCCTAAAAAGCAACAGAAAATTTACTGCAACAGCCATTTTAACAACTGTAAATGCTGCTAAATTATTTTCTTTAATTCTTGCAGAATCATCTTACATTCAGTTTTTATGAATTGTATTAATTGAGCACATTGCATGGATTTGTACTAAAAAACAATTTGTTATACACAAATGATTATTGTTAATTAAAACTATACTATACTACTATACTATACTAAAAACATTTTTGTTGCTCATTGAAATAAAAAAAAAATTAAATATGAGATAAATTATTAGATTATTTTAATCATTAAATACATTTTTAAATGTTTCTTTGGCAAGTACTAAAATTACTAACTGAAAATAAAAATTTATGAAAACTATTTTGAAATGTTTTTTTAACCAATAAAAATGACAAAAGCACATAACAAAATTAAAAAAAAAACTAAAATTAATTTGGAAATATATAAATAAAATAACATTAGGACAATTTAACTGCAAAAAAACGCTATTAAAAATGTTGACAAACAATTTTGACCATTTATCTGGCTATAATATACATAGTTATATAGATTTATCCTGAAATGTGTATGTTAGAGAAATATGTTCATTTGTCAACAACCCAAACAGCGTCTGCTCTTCCAAACCGTACCACATATAGATTTAATTTATAACCAAGATATATCACAAAGTATTAATTAATTTGCTTTTACAATAAATGAACACTAAACTATATAACGTTAGTCTGAAATATGTCAATATTATGAACTTACTGCTGGTTGTCCTGATCTCCACCTCGGTCTGCTTTATATCGCCCACTGTTTTGTAAAACCATAACTGACAAGTATCTTCAAGACTCAAATCAGTCACTAAATACAGAAGAAGAACTAACGTTAGTTAGTTAGTTAGATAACAGCTTCACTGCACACAACTCGACCGGTCACCTGCCTTCACACACTTTCAGCGCGAGTTTATGAATTTTCAGCTGCTCGCATATCACTAATGTCCTACCAACAACGATAAAACGTCATATCTCCTTAAGCATTTACATACAATTCGCGGTGTCACTGTTATATAGAATATTATTGCAAATATATATTTCCGTTGTTCATACTGTACCGCCGCCAAAGAAATTTGGCGCGTTTTGTGTCGTTGCCGCGAGCTCCAGTCACCTTCCTGCTGTGCTCCCGCCCCTCATAATTTCAACCAATGAAAATGGAACCTCACGCGTACGACATCACGTATGCTCTATATTTACTACTTTTATTTATTTATTTTTTTAGTCCATCTAAGAATGAAAAAAAAACGAAGTTTTGGTTATAAAATGACATCAATTGTAATAAATAAAAATATGTGTAATTAATTCTATGTGGTTTTATGTTGTCGATGACGTCTAGTGTGCTCTCCTCCAATCAAAGCCGCGAATTTGCGCATGTCAGGTAGTCTCGTCTCCTCCCTTGACGTTTGGATCACAAAAGCTAGAAGAGCTGCAAATTTTATTTATATGTATTTCATAATATTATTTCTTTCTATCGACGCGTTGAAGTTTAATATTTTATGTTCTTTTCATATTACGATTTCTATTATGCTTTTAGATTATTACACCGTGGCACATGATCAGAAACAGTTATAGCTAGGTTAACGTCAGTCAGACTGAAGGTAAGATTGTAAACAATCATAATCTTTCAGACAACATGATTCAGATGAGCCTGGAACGGATCATACATTCAGACAACTTGCAAAAAAATTAGATTTTTTTCGTCCTAAACGTGATCCTTCGGCTGGACTAAACCTTGTTAGATGTGAATTGAATGTCATGGTTTCCTGGAGCCATGTCTTGTAAATCCAAAGTGGCTCCCAGTGTTGATTTTGACCACAGCTGCTCTGACAGTGTTGAGTATTTGACACTCAACTTCGGGCCTTTTGAGACCGTCCACCGCTGGAGGAGGCTGCCACCATGTGATGAGTTTGTGGGTGCAAGGTACACTTTTTATTCATAACAGTTGTTCTTCATCTTTAGGTAGATGTTTTGTTTTCAGCTATAAAAACTGTGTATATTGGGTTTTGTTTCTTGAAGGCGTAGCAAACACACTGTTGTGGCATACAGAGATGCCATCTACGTCTTTGGAGGAGACAATGGGTGACTATTTGTTTTTCCTTACTTACTTCCTTACACTCCAAAACGTACAGATGAATCTCATATGGGTGATCGTTTCTTTCAGCAAGAACATGCTTAATGACCTGTTGCGGTTTGATGTGAAGGACTGCTCATGGTGTCGGTGAGTGTTGAATGACAATCGCAAGGTGGATGTGCTTAAATATGCTTTTATGTAGCCTCTTATATCTATATATTTATGTCCTTAAATAGGGCGTTTACTACTGGCACCCCACCAGCACCAAGATACCACCACTCTGCTGTTGTGTATGGAAGCAGCATGTTTGTGTTTGGTAGGTTTTCAGTGTGCCATTTAATGTCATGTTTTCCTTTCCTGTGTGTGTAATGTTTTCTTGCTTGTATTTTAGGTGGCTACACTGGAGACATCTATTCAAACTCTAACTTGAAAAACAAAAATGATCTATTTGAGTACAAGTTTGCCACCGGGCAGTGGACAGAATGGAAGGTGGAGGGACGGTAAATCATATTGATCATTACTCTTATTTTCTGTAATCCTCATAATTGTGTTATAGTCTGTCTGACACACAATTTTGTTTTTTTGTATTTTATGTTCCAGTCTGGTTGCCAGATCGGCTCATGGAGCCACGGTCTATAACGACAAACTCTGGATTTTTGCTGGATATGATGGAAATGCCAGGCAAGTGTATTAGTGTATCTTTATACACAGCTTTGAATGGCAAATATAAATATGTTGTAACATTAACAAATCTATTCCAACATAAAACTAAGGGATTTTTGAAATGTTACTCTGTCAATATATGTATGAATCCTTTTTTTGTTTCCAACAGGCTAAATGACATGTGGACCATCAGTCTTCAGGATCGTGAGCAGGCATACTGGGAAGAGGTGACTATATTTGCATAAGTTTAATTCAAAAACAGGATTGTCTAATTATTACACCGCCGTTATTACACCAATTTTCACATGTGTGAATGATGAATAATTCTGAAGACATAATTTTATGGCTAATCCTGAATTAATTCCAGTAACAGAAGAAAATGCAAACATGACCCAGATGTTTTCTGCTAAATCTGTAGGTGTCAACATCCAAACAGCAACATAAAATGATGGATTTTGTCAAGATATTTGACATTAACTGCAGTATTTGAACATATATATTTACATATATATGTAAATATATTCACAGTCAGGCACAAGAACAGTTTTTTCCCACAAGCTATATTCAGTCTGAACAATTAATCTTTCATAATTATACATCGTCCATCACAACTAACATAGTATATTTATATTAAACTGCACACTTTGTAAATAACATATCTGCACACTAATAAACATATATGTACATTTATCTAAACAATTACATTTTTTCCTATACTTCTATTTCTGTATATAGTACATTATTCAATTTTTCTTTTTTTTATTATATTAGTGTTATATTACATCCCTACTGTGTTATTCCTATGTATGTCTGCACTATCATGTATGTCTGCACTATGTTTGTACTTTCTTCTACACTGGAAGCTCCTGTCGTCAAGTCAAATTCCTTGTGTGTGTAAACATACTTGGTAATAAAGCTCTTCTGATTCTGATATATATTTTTTTTTTTTGCAAATCAACACAATTATTTACTTTTCAAGATGCAGGGCTGTGTTATTTGATTTTAAACTTTTACTTAAGGATTTGTGTTCACCTTAAAGTTGATCAAATACACAATTCCCTGCCAGTAAACATATACCATGTTGGATTGTTTCTGATTTACTGCTTTCTTTGTTTCCTTTAGATTGAACAAAGTGGTGAAATCCCACCTTCCTGTTGTAACTTCCCAGTAGCTGTATGTCAGGATAAGATGTTTGTTTTCTCCGGCCAAAGTGGAGCCAAGATCACTAACAACCTCTTTCAGTTTGAATTCAAAGGCCACATGTGAGCACGGCAAAGAAGACCTTGATTAATGTCATTTTATGTGTAATATGCACACAAGTTTTTATTTATGGAAGCATATAGGTAGCGAAATTCAATTTAAAATGCAATATGCAAAATGGCAATGCAATATTCAAAATGGCAACGCAATATTCAAAATGGCATTGTATTTCTGTATTTAAATTTACATTTTCCATTACCCATACGTGCAAAGTTTGGTGCAAAAGTAAAATGAAAATTAAATTATATAATTTACATTTGCCATTTCCAACAGTAGTCTTAATATGTAAATTGCATACAAATTTTAA